CCCCCGGGGTCCCACCCTCTGCCCCGGCTCGGGGTCCCACCCTCTGCTCCCCCGGGGTCCCACCCTCTGCCCCGGCTTGGGGTCCCACCCTAAGGAACGTGCACAGTCCCTTGAGCCCCGCGCACCCTCCCTGCCGTCATCCACAGCCCCCCAGCTTTGTGCACCCGGCCCCACCCGAGGCCCCGCCCCCAAAGGCGGAGCCCCGCCGCTAAGGTCTCGAGGCTCGGTTCCATTCCTGCCGTTTAGTCACCGCCCCGTTCTCCATCATGACCCCGCCCGCTGTCTTCAGCTCCAGCCCCCACTCCCCTCTCTGCTCTGCCCTTCCTGCTGTGGCCACGCCCCTGTCCCCCATAGCCCTTCTCTTCACTGCGGCCCAACTCCACTCAGACCCCGCCCTCCACTCCGATCCTACCCATGGGTGGGCCCGCTCCCTTGAGCGGAGGGTGGGACCAGAGAGGCGGGGCCAGGGCCGAGGGGCGGGGCCAAGGCTGAGAGGTGGAGCCAGGGCTGAGAGGCGGGGCCAGGGCTGAGGGGCGGGGCCAGGGCTGGGGGCAGGACCTGGGGCCGAGGGGTGGGTCGGGGTGGAGGGGGTGTATAGTGGGGCAGGGCTGAGGGGCGGCGCTTGGGCTTGAAGGGTAGGGGCGCGGATGGGAGTGGGGCCGGGGCTGAGTGGGCGGAGCAGAGATGTGGGAAAGGCTGGATGGGGCCAGAACCCGGGGACAAGGCACAGCCAGAGCGGGGTGCAGGGGTGCAGGGGTGACTGGGACAGGGCAGGGTCAGAGCGGGGCGCCCGAGGGCTGGGGCTGTGGTAGGAGCAGGGCCTGAGGGCCAGGGCCAGGGCACCGGGCACGGCCAAATAAAGATAGAGCTGTTGTGGGCGGGGCATCGCAGCAAACAACTGAGGAGCGAGGGTCCACGGCTGCGCGGTGGGCCCTGCGCCTGCTCCCTGTCCCTGCCCTGCACCACCAGCTGTGGCCCCGCCCCCTGCGCCCTGAGCCCCCCTCTCAGGCCCCAGCTCTGCCCCTCATGCCCTGGTCCTACCCTCAGGCCTGTCCCCACCCCGTTCAGTCCCCACCACCATTCCGGCTGGGCCTCCTCCCCACGCCCTGGCCCAGGTCTGACCATGTCCCTGCCCCGCCCCTCAGCCCTGGCCCCACCTCTCAGCCCTGGCCCCGCCTCTCAGCCCTGGCCCCACTCCTAAACCCTGGCTCTACCTCTCAGCTCTGGCTCCACCCCTAAGCCCTGGCCCCACCCCTCATCACTGGCCCCACCCCTTAGCTCTGGCTTCGCCTCTCAGCCCTGGCCCCGCCTCTCAGCCCTGGCCCCACCCCTCAGCCCCAGGCCCTGCCCCCAGCCCTGGTTACACCCTCGACCCTGGCCCCAATCCCCCCAGCCCCGCCCTGTGTCCTGGACCGGCCCTCACCTCAGCCCCGCCCACTGCCCTGGACCCACCCTCGGCCCCGCCCTCTGCCCTGGGCCCGCCCCTCACCTCAGCCCTGCCCTCTACCCTGGACCCGCCCTCTGCCCTGGACCCGCCCTCAGCCCCGCCC